ACCTCTGTACCAGGTGACACGTTCTCAGGTATGGGGTTAGTCAGTGACTTAATGAACATAAGAGGGGCATTGTCATTGACATCTGTGATATCAATAATCAATGTCGTAGATGACACTAATCCAAGACCATCCTTGGCTGTAATTTGCATTTCATAGGCGGACAATTCCTCATAATCTATTGATCCACTCACTTTCACTTCACCTGTTGTCTGATCAAGAGAAAAGACGTTATTAATTTCATCAGAGATATGATCAAATTCATAAGTCACCTCTCCATTGATTCCCTCGTCTGCATCAGTAGCGCTCACTGTAACCACTACAGTATCTAACGGAGAGTTTTCAGGTAGACTGGATTTATAAACGGCCTGACGAAACACTGGGGCGTTGTCATTAGCATCCAGTACAGTGACGTGAATGACTGCAGTACCCGATCGCTGAGGAGAGCCTCCGTCTGTTGCCACAAGCACAACTGTTAGCTCTTGCTGTTGTTCTCTGTCCAGCTCCTTCTCTAAAACTAACTCGCTGTATTTACCTCCTCCGCTTTTTGCAATAATATTCAATCTGAAGTTTTCATTTGCCTCTATACTATAGCCCTGGATGGCGTTTTGTCCGATATCTGCATCGTGGGCCTCATCTAGACGGTAGCGACTACCTTTAGAAGCCGATTCCCTAATTTCAAATTTGATTGTGTTCTTTTTAAACTGTGGTGAATGATCATTGATATCTTGAACGTGAACACCAATGCGATGCACCTCTAAAGGGTTCTCTAAGACAAGCTCCTGTTTTAAAACGCAAGATGCCTTTTTGCCACAAAGCCCCTCTCTGTCAATTCTATCAGCAACAATGATATCTCCAGTACTGAGAGTAATGTCACAATACCGTTTGTTGTTTCCGTCTACATCAATACGAGCCTTTCGGGCAGTCAGTTTGCCCACCTCGAGTCCAATATCTTTCGCTATATTTCCAACAACTGAGCCGCGTTTCATCTCCTCTGCAAAAGAATAAGACACATCGCCACCGACGGTTTGCAGCGCATGAAGAAATACTCCGAAGGAGGTGAACAGGCCCAACACGGAAAATGTGTTGTTCCCCATTTTCCTGCAAGGACCAGTGCCAAATCCACCACAAGCAAGACGTGAAAAATGAAAATAACCAGCCAAACGGAATCCTCTTCGGACAACAAGTGCAGTCCAATTGCAGATGGTACTACTTCGCTGCTTTTACCAAAGGACAATCTTTTGTGAAATAGAAATGTGCAGGTTATAGGGTAACACAATGTAGCACCATTAAGTAAAGCTGGTGGACAGCGACACTGTGAGAAAATTGTAGGTATTACAAAAGATTTAAATAATTGAGTCCTCTGATGAGAATGATAGACTAAAAAGTCGAGGCTGCAGTCACATCCAAACATAGATGACCAATACACAGTGAGTGGTAGAAGAGAGTTTTGTGTTGGAAATGCCAGTGTTTTACCACAGTAAAAATACAAATAGCGGACTGCAGGGACGAATATGTGAGGGTTGAGTTGGTTTCAGCACCATGGAGAGATACCGCAGTATAATGTAACACACACCATGTACGAGGGCTCATATCTATCACAAGTCTCAGATGACTTACCAAGATACAACAAAGTAATAATAACGACACTGTAGCCTTGTTCCTCAATAAAATAAAATTACTCATATGATGAAGTCACAAGAAGTCCACGTACTCTCCAAGATAAATGGTGGGCTGTAGCTATATAATTTGACCAATAAGGAGCTGAGGAATATGATGAAATCAGGAAAATACATATTGGTTTGTATTGCCTTCATCAATTGACACTATTTATTTCCCACCACTGTACGCCAGGGGTAATAGAAGAATTATATAGTATATATCCTGTACTTTGGCAGCTTGGAGGCAAACAAATGTAGACTGAAGACAATCAAACAAAGTAAAATTTTGATATATTTTCATATCCATGGAAAGTGGATAACACTCTTTCACAGAAAAACAAATGGTTTGTTTCATTTTTTTTGTTTAGAAGTATTAGCAATTAAGTTGTATAATTGATAAAATACAAATTTAACAGAAAATACAAATTATCTGCATATGCAAGGAATGACTTTTTTTCTGTGTTAGACCACCTTAACTAAGAAAAAAAAAAGGTTTTCAAGTAACGGATCGAAGGCTGATTTAAAATTGTGTGGGTGTTAAAATGTTTAAAACAACACATGCGCATACCTCTAGAGGCTCCAACGAATCTTGAAATACTTCAGCAAAGTCTGACGGACTTTTCCTCAGAGTCTGGTCAGCAGGCAGAGTGTTGTCATTGTAGGATGACACGAACTTAAAGTCACTGGTTCTAGA